AAAGGGCCCTGGTGCAAGATTTTATCTTGGGCCCCCCTCCCCAGCGGTCTTTGATGTTGCAGTAGCGTGCTGGACTTACCTGGGACCCTGCAGAGCACACCATAGATCCTGCATAGCCCACCTGAGACTCTATAATAGGGAACATTACAGTGTAATATTCCCCATTATAATCCACCTGTCTAATTACATGAAGTAAGAGCCCCCCTCTCGGACTCGCCCTGCTCGGACTCACCCTGCCAGGAAAGCAGCAGCCATGTGTCGATGTGTGCACTGCACGGGGCGTGTGACACACACACGTTTCCTGTTGTGGGGGTGCCCAGGACCGGACCCCACTGGGCCTCCCCACAGCCCCAGGCCCTGGTGCGGCGGCACCTGCTGCACCGGCGGCAGTTCCGCCACTGTATTTCACCCTACATTCGTGTCTCGACCGGTGACTGGGGAAACTGAGAGCTACAGATCAGCGGGTTGCAATATCTCCTGAGCAAGGAAGAAGACAGCGGCTGACATACTTATCCTGAGTACCGGGGTCCGTCACACCGCCAATGTAACAAAAGTATTCACAATGGCCACCAATGTAACGAAAGTGTTTACAATGACCGCCAATGTAACACCATACACATACTTAAACTTATGTTGTTCTTGCAGTCTTCGGGCAGTTTTTTCTTCCTTAGCGGGGGGGGGGGAGGGCATTGATTTGCATATCAATTAGCCATAATATTTACATATGAATGGGTCACTGCTTATTGATGTGCAAATCACCGCAGCCCATTTCTATGTAAATATCTCGGCCTGGACAGTGCAAGAACAGCACCAGCAAGCGGCGGAGAGAGGGAGAGAGCAGAGAGACCAGAGAGAGGTGGTGTTTTTCAGCCCTCCCCCACCAGCGCCCTCTAGCTGCTCAGATCCGCCCATCGGGCATAGCGGAACGGCCTGAACACAATCAGGTTGATTGTGTTTGGCCCAGCCCACCGGGCAAGTGCCCGCTTTGCCCTATGACCAGTCTGGCCCTGATGGCCATTCTAATAAAACCAAACATATATTCAGTTTATAATATACATGTACTTTCCTAAAATACAGCCATGCTTATCTATATCTTTTGTGTATGCATCAGGGTGTACTTACAAAAGGTACATAGGCTGTCCACTTTGAAAGGGAATTTTCCCTTCACTTAGTGAATGATATAAAGCTCTGCTGACTTCCATCATCCAATCATGTGCAAGCAAAAATACAGTTTTTCTCCCGTCCATTGAAGGACACAATAAACTCTATACTCTGTACAGATGGGTTGTACCACCACTTACAGGAGTAGGACGCTAGGCACAAAAAAAGAAGCTTGGCTCTGGGGGCAGCTCCTGTGGGTGGCCACACCCTCATCCAAGGCAGCTCATTTTATTGTTCCCGCACCTCAGTGGACAACGCTTTGGGACATTCCATCAAGATCTCCACTGTGTCCTTCAATGAATGGAAGAGAGAAAAAAATTGTACTCACTGTAAAATCCTTTTCTCTGCATTCATTGAAGGACACAGCACACTTCCTTCTTTGGGTCTTTTTGTGCCTTAGTTCTACTGCTTTGTGACTAGCTGAGCTGCCTTGGATGGAGGTGTGGCCACCGGCAGGAGCCACCCCAGAGCTAAGCTTCTTTTTTTGTGCCTGGCATCCTTCTCTTGCAAGTGGCTGTATAACCCATCCATGTGCACTATAAGGTATTGCTCTTGGGGTCAATTAACCCTAAAGGCAGCATCAGAGAGGTCTGCTCCATCTGAGTTTGAATATGGAATGGTTATAATCCCTGTCAGGCACTTCTAGCTATCTGTGTCCTATTGAGTAGATTTCCCTTTACTTCCTGGCCCATATATACAGCAGAAAGTGAGAGAAAACTCTCCAAAGCAGGTAAAAAAATCCACATTTGGCTGTTTTTACAGGAACAGGGGTCCCCATTGGAATATTTTTTTTTTCTGGCAACATTTGTGAAAATATTGGATTTCCCATTTGTTTTTGCCCTATTACAATATGGAACAGGCTAAATAGAGAATTACTTTCCCTAGTGGGGACACAGTCAGCAGTATAACACTGACTGATATTGTAAACCTTCCCTACTCCTATGAAAAAAATTAAAAACAGTGGCTATAGATGCACCACCAAGTAAACCTATCATAAGAGAAATGCAGGGCTTCTGTTACTGACCTCCATCTAAAAATGTTAATTGCCTGCCTGTTATGCTAAGCCACTGTTTTACTGACCCAGAGCACCTATAGGGATTAGAAAAAGCAGATTGAAGATGGAAGTCCTTATGTGTATACTTGTTTCAGGTATTTTCACTCACAATACTAAAGCAAGTGTATTGGCATAACAACCAGGCAATCAGCATTTTAGGGGACAGCAACGGTTTCTTTCATGACATATTCCCTTAAAATGCAACTAGCTAACAGTGTTTGATAATTCACTCATGGCTACAGTGTCCTTGAAATAACATGGTTTTCTTTTCTGTGTGGTGGTTCATAAGTCAAAATATCTTATGGACAACATTTTTTTCAGCTAATGTTTTAATGCAATAAATGACCACTGTGCATTTAAAAATCAGAGAACCTTATGATTATATTCTGTATAACTTTAGTTATCTTTTCTACAGTTGTCTTTTAAAGAATTGCTACAGATATAGTATGTTGCTTTTTTAAATTGTTAAAAAAATATATAATTCTGTATTAGGAAAAGCTTTTGATCATAAAGCTCAAATTGCACCTACATCTTTTATACCTCAGTCAAAATCAGGGGACAAAAAAAAAAATTAACAGGTCTTAATTTGTATTTCTTTTGATAGTGCTCTAGTGACATGCCAGACTCTCCTTCCCCAGCAGCAGATTTGGGGGCACTGCCTTCTTAGAAAAAACAGTGGTCTATCTCTAATGGTCCAGCAAGCCTCCAGTTCCCTGCGGAGCAATAGGCGGAGGAAGGGACATGACTGATGGAGGTCAGACCTGAACAAGAAGGAGTTAGGTGAGTATTGGATGGAAAGGTGTTTTTCTGTTGGGTTTGAAAAGGGGGAGGGAGGGCCAGCTAGCATAGTGATAGGTGGGTTTATCTTGGGGGGTGGAGTTAGGGGGCCATCTTACTGTACAGTGTGAGGTAAGGAACCATTTTAGGTGGGAGAAAAAAGGAATCAGTCCCGCCCACCCATCCCCGATAGTATTTCAGCTTGTTGTTTTTTATGTTTCCTAAGGGTTAGTTTCCACAAGTGTGGAATTTGGGGAGGAGGGATACAATTTTTGTAGTTAGGGTTATGGGTATTCCTTTTCTGCATTTAACGTGGAATTTGTGTTTTGGGGAATATGTCTGACTTAATTTTCTTCTAGGTTGGTCGTCCATTGGGCGGGTCCCTGGCAGTGCCATACATCGACGACGAAGAACTGGCTCTCCGCAAAGTGAAAAGGGGCGGAGTAGTAGGGAAGTGCCAATGGTGGGGCTACTGGGCTCTATAGCTTGGTAGCCAGTAAGAACTCGGGCAACTGTTGGTGGGCGTACCCACTCGGGCCAGAAAATGGGCAGCCGGTGGCTGGTACAGTAAACAATGGGTCATGGTACACCCCCGTAAGCGGTGAGTGGTGTTTTTTGGCACTCGTCAGGGACCAAAATATTTTGTTCTTGATACATTATATGTTCTGCTATTATTTTAAATGTTTACATCGCTGTGGCCATTCAACCTTCCAATAAATGTTATTACATTAAGTTTTTTGAAATTACTGTGTTCAGTGTTTTATTTAGGTGGGAAGTGAGGGTTACTTGGCCTTGCAGTCAGTCATGCAAAGCTAATGCTCTCCATTTAATAGGGAGTATGAACGTTGACCAGTAATTGTCCAACTGTGCTGATGATAGACCGCTACTCTCACACAGAGGGCAGCTAACCTTATCATCACTGTGCTACTGTAGAAGTTATATATGGGATAATAAGCCTTTTTCATCCCTGACCACCTTCTCTAAAGCCTATTTTTTGTATTTTTCATTACTAGTTCATTACTAGAGTACCTGGACTGCCTGAAGCCCAAGGCACTCTATTATGCCAATGCAGACTGTAACAAGAAGGTTGATGCTTTGGTCCGTCTGTTGCAAAATGACACACCTTACAACTGACCAGTTCAGCCCCACATCAGATTAACTGACCAATAGCAAAGCTGTGCTATGCTAGAAAATGGAAAGAAGGAAGAGAAAGAAGGAAGAGAAGGAAACAAGAGAATGGATATGGACTCTAATTTTTCCAGGCTAAATTAGACAAGTAGGAAAATCTATCAGATGAAGAGGAAAAAGGACAATAATAAGCAAAATGCATATTGGTAAAAAAGGAATTTATATATTCTGGTTAAAAAGAATGCATAGCCAAAATATCCTCTTTTCATTTTGGATAGGGTAGGAAAGGTTTAATTTCAGTTTAGTGTTTGCTGTCTGTTTAACATTGGGGAGATTTCCCTTTACTTCATGTCCTAGAGATGTAACAGGAAGTGAGAAGAAATCTGCCAAAGTGAGGAGAATTTCCCCTTTTAGACAGGTTGGAAGATCAACCCATTATCTCTTGTTCTGGAAACAACTCTAAAATGTTGGATTTTCCCTCACTTTTTTTCTTAGTAATAATGATCACCAGGAAAATGAGTGGTGGGTCTCTCCAAAAGGGGCACACAGCACTAAAAACTTGAATCCAAGTCCAACACTTTATCGAAGACTATAAAAAAGGGTATTACCTAGAGATGCACTTTATACATTCCTACAAAACCTCTTATATAGATAGCAGTCCTAATGCTGCAACACACAATTTCTTCAGCATTGGCAGTCTAGCAAAGGAGTAGTGTCAACACAAAATGTATGTTTCTCATCTAATTGCCTGACTGATGATATAGGACACTTTTGTAAACATTATTAATTTAAAAAGTGACTGTGGTTAAATTAAAAAGCCCATCAATGTTTTCTTTTTTTTACCTCCAAGGCAAAATAAAAGACCTTTTGCCTCAAGACTCAGTTGACTCGCTAACAAAGTTAGTCCTGATGAACACACTCTATTTTAAAGGAAACTGGGATGTTAAATTTCCTGAAAAAAACACAGAACAAAAACCATTCAGGCTGAGCAAGGTTTGGAAGCATTTTCATAAAAATGTGTTGTAAATGTGTTGGCCTACAAGACTCTGCTCTCTCATGGTTCTCCTCTTACCTATCTAAGCGCTCCTTTAGTGTCACCTACAAATCTAACTTCTCCCCTCCTCTTCCTCTTTCTGTAGGGGTCCCCCAAGGCTATGTCCTTGGACCCCTTCTCTTCTCTATCTACACCTCCTCCCTCGGCCAGTTAACAACCTCACATGGCTTTTAATACCATCTCTATGCCGATGACACTCAAATCTACCTTTCTACTCCGCAACTCACCCCCTCAGTGTCCTTGCGTGTCACTAATCTACTAACTGACATATCAGTCTGGATGTTTCGCAACACTTCTTAAAACTGAGCTCATGATATTTCCTCCTGCCGTTGTGCACCTTCCCCCAACTTTTCCCTTGAAGCCTATCCCACCTCAACCTAACCACTGAACTATTACTTTCTCAAACAATTCATCCCCACACAGCTACCTCCTCATGTATCACTTCCCCCTCCCTTTTAGAATGTAAGCCCTCATGGGCAGGGCCCTCCTTACCCTCGTCTTGAATTGTATTGTAATGTCTTCCTTAAATTGTAAAGCGATGCGCAAACTGTTGGCGCTATATAAATCCTGTATAGTAATAATAATAGTAATAATAATATGTGTGAAGACATTAAAGTGACAATAAACTTGTGAGATAAACCTTAAAAATGGATTCAAGTACCGTAACTATTACCAAAAATTTATCTTATTTATGCATCATTTTCAGTTTACTAATTTGTATTGAGATTGCAGTTCATCACAGGAGTGAGCTTGGAGCGGTGGCTACATTACAACACACACAGGGACCATGGTGAACATGAAGGAAGGACAGTGTCAGCACCAATTCAGAGATGATTTAATGATCTACACCTGAGTGAAACAAAAATAAATGTGTATGTAATAATGTGGTAATTTTGTTAATAGGTAAGGTACTTCTATAGCATTTTTAAGGTTTAACTCCTTAGTTTAGTATAACTTTAAATGATGTGTGTGCTCCACCTTTATAAATATATCTTCTCTTTATACAGACAAAAACTAAAATGGTACCAATGATGTTTCAGAGAAACAAATATAATATGTTCTACATCGAAGAGCTTGAGACAAAGGTGCTTGAACTCCCTTATGTTAATAAAAAAACAAGTATGATCATTTTACTGCCTGATGACATTAAGGATAACACTACTGGACTGGAAAAGGTGAGAATTTAGATGTTTATGGGTTCATGAATATAGCGCCAGCCATTTATAGCTCCCAAGCTCCAGTGCCCAATGTGTATTGCATATTACTTGGTCTCTGCAATATCACAATGAATAAAGCAATAGTGTGCAATAACCCATTCCAGCCATTTATATGATCAGCTTTGAGCACTTTATACGTGAAACAGAATAAACAATCGTTGAACTGGGTTATGACATACCATTATTTTTTGCACTAGTTAATTATGTCAGCACATACTCTACACTAGACATGTGCACCGGCAAAAAATTAATTTCGCTTTGATTCAGATTTTGCATTATTTCGTTTTTCGGGATTCGGGTCCGAAAGTCAATTTGTTTTGGGATTCAGGCGAAATCCGTTAGCGATAGTCTGTACGAATTGTCGTTTCCTTTTCATTTCCTTCTTTCGTTGCATATGAAAAGTATTATGACACCTCTGCTCACAGACCCGAATGCCATTCGGGAGCTCACAAGAGGATGTCAAAAGCAGATGTCATTTTGCGGCGAGTTTTCACCGGGTTCGGACGTGGCCTGCAGTGGCGGAACTACCGCCGGTGCAGGCGGTGCCAGGGCACCGGGGCCTGAGGCTGTGGGGTTGTGTTGTTGCGTTGAGGTAAGGCATGTGTATGTTGCGTTGAGGTACTTGAATGCATTTTTAAGGTTTAACTTTTGTATTTTCAATGTTGCCATGGAAACCATTAAAAAACCCTCTCCTCATTGCATTGGTACATTTACATGGCAGTGCCCAGCTACTCACGCCCTTTTTTTAACAAAAGTTTGCAAATTATCCTTAAAAAGGTCTGAGAAAATGATACGATTTTACTTTCACAGACTTGAGTAAGGTTTAGTGTTATGTATGGGGTTCATGGACTTTCCTGCAAGGTTTACAGAATGTCCACCAAAGCAAAATTTGCTTGGTTCTTAGAAGCATGATTAAGGCTAATGTATATTGGCTTTTGGCTGCATCTAAGTTTCCATTCTTCCTCCGAACCTCCGGCAGTTCACTCACTGCCATTCGTCCTATTCTCATAGGGGCTGAACGGCAGTAAATGAATAGCCGAATGCCACTGAGCTACCTCGGAGGTAGTGACCAGAATAAAAAAAAGACATGTAAAGAAAAGAAAAGAAAAAAAACAATGTGGGGTCCCCCTCCAAAACCATACTAAACCCTTTAGGGCTGGTAGAAAAGTTAGGAGGGACCCCAAGTCAAAAAAAAAAGTGCGTGGGGTTCCCCCCACAATCCTACCAGGCCCTTTAGGTCTGGTAGGAATTTTAAGGGGGAACCCCAGCCCAAAAAAATGGGGGAAAAAACATGGGGTCGCCCCTAACATTCCTACCAGACCCTTGATCCGAGCACAGGCCGGGCAGGAAAGGGTTGGGATTGAGCCCCCCCCCTCCCTGCGCCTTACCAGGCCACGTGCCCTCGGCATTGGGAGGGTGTCCCCATTCCGATGGGGACGAGGGCTTCTTCCCCACAACCCTGACCCGGTGGTTGTGGGGGTCTGCGTGCAGGGGGCTTATTTGCATCAGGGTACCCCTTTAATTAAGGGGCACCCAGATGCCACACCCCCCCCCCCTACCCATTCACTAAAGGGTTAAATTCAAAGTCAATAAACAAGGATTTTAGAGAAAATGCTTTAATTGAAAAAAAAAACAACAAAGAGTCCATTTTAAACAACTCCTTAAATGTAAAAAAAAATGGCTCCATCGATGTAATCACGATGCACGACGCCCGCCGCAATAAAAAAAGTCCCGCCGCACGACGACCTGTCCGAACCCGACGAAAACTCGCCGCCGCTAGATAACATTCAGCCCGAAAGTAAACAGATGGGTGGAGCGAGCCGTGACGTCGCGGCTCGCTCTGCCCATTTGAGATTCTCAGCTGTCAAATACAACATAGCATTCGGGAGCTCCCCAATGCCATTTTTGAGCTCCCCAATGCCATACAGGTCTGTGAACCAAGGTGTCACAATACTTTTCATATAACACCTCGGTTCACAGACCCGAATGGCATGTGTCCTGTGATTCGTACCTGTGGTGACAGAGCAGCCAGCTGCAGGTGCCCCCCCAAACCCCCTCCCCAGCCAAACCCACAAGCTGGGAAGCGGGCACACCTGAGGATACACCTGAGGATATAGCTATGTGAGCTGCAGCATTCAGTTGTCACTGTGAGGTGAGCAGTGTGATTTGATGAAAGCTGCTTACAACATCAATATGTGAAGCCCAACATTGTGAACTGCTCACCTGGGCTCAGGTGGTGCCTGGGGGGACGCCATGTGGAGAGGTGGATGTGTATGAACAATGAAAATTCCACCCGTGCCTGTCACCCCCCTCCCATGCACTAATCGGACCCAGACTCCCACCACCATCCAGCACCCCCCAAACCCTCAATTCCCCCTGACCTTCCCACAAGCACAACTGATTGGTCATAATCCCCACCAGTGGAGGTTCCCCATCTATTCACCCCTCGTCTATGATATCGCATCAGCTATTACTTTTTGGTAAGTTTTTCAAACTTTGCATAAATCCAATTCCTTATGGTAGTAGCGCTTCTATCCCCATTTTTTGTTCTTCTGGATGTGTATGAACGGACAGCACACCACAATAATGTAACACATTAAGGAATTGTCGCACAACACTTTTATTTATTTGGTACATAAAACAAATGTATGTAGAAACTGGCACATTTCTCTCCATTGTGTGTATGCATGTCTATATGGCAGTGGGAACATTAGATTGTAAGCACTTTGATGGGTCAGGAACTAAGTTATTTGCACTTTTAAATACTTATTAAAACATTGTAAGATTTGTTGACATAATAATACAATAAATACAATATTTATTTATGCAATAAATACAATTCTTATATGTAAACTGTCCAAAAAGCAGATCTCTGCTGCCATCTTGTGGTCTTCTAAGAACTGCAGTTCATCGTTACAGATCCAGCCTGCTTCCTTTTCCTTTTGCCCATAGGCCAGACATTGGCAACTTGACACTCTAGCTGCAGTAAAAATACAAATCCCATCATGCCTCCAAGACTCCTAGAGTCTTGCATCATGTGATTTGTGGTTCCACAATAGCAGGATCGCCAAAGTTGCCCACACCTGCCTTAGGCTGTCAGTTTATGTAGATTATTAATTTGTTTATTTCCTTATTCTACCCCTCTAACCCTTAACCACATTCACTGCTGCACCAACTGATTCATTTTTCACACACATGCTAAAATGCACATTGTTGACAAGAAAATCTGTTTTAAATCCCCAAAACAATATATATTTTCTGGAGGCAGGGAACCTGAAAAAAAAAAAAAAAAAAAAGTGATGATAGTTGGAATTTTTTAATATTGCATGCTATTTGCACAACTGTTTACTCATTCTATAATTTCAGTGAATAATATATTAAAATTAAATTCATTTATGGTGCACAAACACAATATAATCTCCACATTTTCTCTTAAAAATATAAAAAATAAAAGACTGTGAAAACAACCCAGAGGTATGTCCTTCTTCCCTATCCCTTGATTCTCAGGGATACAGCGAATCAGATTACATTTTGTTTACTTCATGGACAAACAGCTGGGTACCAAATACTTTGTATAATGCTGTATTAAGCTTAACACCCTCAATCACATGACCTGTTTTTGCTATAATGACTTGGGATGAGCTCAGGTTTACATCAAACACGGTCCAAACCTGAGCTCCTCTAGACCCGGAAGTGCTAAAGGGCTATCACATATGCTGCGGGTCGGGGCATTCACTGCCCTGCTGCTGATTATAAACAAAGGAGGTGGGTTTGCGCTGACATCATTGACCTTATATGGCCAGATGGCCATACTAGGGGAGCAGCAGAAATAATTTCCTTTTGTTTTGTCTCATGAATCACATGGAAATGTAAACATCATAATGTGTAATCATGTGCAGGCTGGCTACACACTGCCTATAGTTACATGTTGGTTCTGAGCAGTGATGGTGGTCAATAGAGTCCATTATACTAGCACAAATATTTACATGCATACATCGCAAAATACGATCCAAATACAGACTATGAATGGCGATTTTTCTATTTTTGGTTTACAAAGCTAACCCTTATGGACCAGTATGAATGGCCCTAGAGCAGTGGTTTTCAACCTGTGTAACTTTTAGGACCACATTTGTCCTTGATCTTTAAGTCGCAACCCCAGTCGCACTGCAATGGAACGCACGGCATTCCGGTGAGGGCGATTGAACTGTGGACAGGAAGTGCGTTTGGGGTGCCATTCAAATAAATGGCAACGCAATGCACCTCCCACACCATAGCGATTACGTGGTACAGTGCGATATTCACACGCGACTGTTCGATTAACGCAATGCACTAGTGTGAAGGGGCCCACAAAATACACTGACAGACACACACAACCACAGACACATTCTCAACCACACTCCATTTTTTTATTTTTAAGATTTACCCAGTCTCCCTACCTTACTAAAACTGGAGTGGATCCTCAGTCTTGGGGTCCAGTGTGGGCTGCTGTGCTGTGACAGAGCTCCATCCATATGTGCATTGCATGTACAGCTCCCTTGCGCACCCTGAAGAGGTGTTGGGAGCCGGGATGTGATTTCACTCCAGTCCAGACACCTCTACAGGATACGTGAGGAAGCTGTAAGCAATACATGTATAGATAGAGCTCCCTCGCGGCCATAGCCCCAGGCCTTGTTAAAGATGTCACCAGCACACCATAATGTAGTGAAGAACACGTCTGCCCGGCTAGCTGACATGTTTCGGTGAATATAACCCTTTCCTGCATGAGCCCTAAAGCGTTCTGGGTTTGTACGCCTGTGTGCATGAGCCCTAAAGCGTTCTGGGTGTGTACACCCGTGTGCATGAGCCCTAAAGCATCTGGGTTTGGGGCTCCTGAATTGTTGCTGGATCTGAATGTAGCACATGAACAGACACCTGCTCTACAGAATGGTTGCTAGAATACACTAGGAAACAAAGCCACATATCTGCTACACAGCCCCACCCAGGTCTCTTCTCAGGCTGCTTTATTATCACCTCAGAAACTGCTCAGGCTCTTATCTGTTATAATGCTCACCTTTGTCCATTCCAGGAGAAGAGGCCACTATAAAAACTATGATTCATAACAACAATAATCATATTTTAGTTTGTTGCTGCTGCCCACTGCTAAGAAGTTAATAGAGCATGTCCTTGTAGTATGGTGCTGTACTGATGCTGCTTGCAATCTCCCTCTCATGCTTCCCCTGTATGAACCCCTCTGCTTCCATTATGTTAGCAACTGTCACTGTGTATGAAGTGCAATACGTCTGATAGCAGCTGACGCACTGTCTGAAGTGCAATGCCTCTGACACAGTGTATGAAGTGCAATGCCTCTGATGGCAGCTGACACGGGGGTATGAAGTGCAATGCCTCTGATGGCAGCTGACACGGGGGTATGAAGTGCAATTCCTCTGATGGCAGCTGACACGGGGGTATGAAGTGCATTGCTTCTCTTTATCACAGTGAACAGTGACTATAGCCTGGCTGGTCAGCAGTCAGAGGCGTGCACATTTCTGGAACCTGAGTCAAATGATGATCACTTCCTGCTGAGTTTCCTGATCCCTGGGCTGCATTCAGTGTGTCTGAGCATCTGTCACTGTGCACTCTCTTCTATCCCAGGCTTCTCTGGACAGGTGAGCCCCTTCTATTACCCACATCTTCATGCAATATGTCCTAAGCTCTGCTGTGTCTTATTGAATATACATATAGGCAGTTTTTTAAATGTCTTTTGCTATAAAATGTGAGCATGCTTGTTCACAGTTCTTTGTTGCAGCCTTTGTATACTGGCAATAGTATTACAGAGCCATTCCCCATGTTGGCACACTTCAACACTGGTGGCAGTCCTAGTTGCACAATTATGTATGGGGTATTTTAGCATGGTAATGTCTTTATGATATTCGAGGGCAGGGTTTTCTTTTTTTCTTGGCTTTATTTCTATGTATAATTAAAAATCATTTCATCAGTAATCCTCACCACTCAAAGTGCAGCACGGTTCTTTTGGCCGCTGCGCCAGCAACCCGGGGCATTGGGTGTGGAACGTTCAGTGATGAAACAAACTTGGATTTTAATTTTTTTTTTTCACTGTAAGCACCCATGCCTCCAAAGCTTCATCTATGCCTAACCGTTATCTTTAAAGCCCGACAACAGGGAAATGAAAAGATTCCCCTTGCTACCTTTGCACTGCAAGGGTTAACTGCTTGTTTATGTCTAGGGGAGCTGTGTAAAGGACTTATCTTACCCCCTTCCTCTGGCAATCGGTGCACACCTCGCCCCATCTACGTTTCGGCTTGTGGACTGTCCCTCGGCATATAATGTAGGGATATGGGTCCTCCATTGTATATGATGACAACAGCGGACCTCCAAACACGGGAGCGTAGGGTTGAAGGGGCTGCGGGTGCTGGTCTTGTAGCCTTGAGGGAGCGGGGGATCAGTTGAGTAAAAGTCCTTTTTACACAGCTACCCTAGACATAAACAAGCAATTAACCCTTGCAGGGGGATTTCTTTTTTGGGGGGGATAAGGGCTTTAAAGTATAATCTAAATTCTCCTGCAAATATTCCCTCATCTATTAGACAATGCCCATAGTAGTCCATTTCTTAATACTTACCTTTTTTGTTAGAAGCCCTTGTGCTGTCCTCTGTCCACCTCGTTTCTCTTGGTCACTTCTGCTTTGTGTATGCACAGTACACACCATACACAAAAGGTGCATCTCTCCCTCCATCATGGTATGATGCCTTCTGCTTCCTGTGGATTCCAGACCGTAGGTGCTGGTGAGCTTTGTGTCAAAATGCCAGCTTTCCACAGGAGCATGCACCCTAGGGTGACGACAGTGCTGTTGCTTAGAGAATGCTGTCTCTCTAAGACAGAAGGCTGGCAGGATCATTGCGTAAGAAAAAAAGGAAGAATTACACTTCCGGAAGGATTGTAGTGCAAGCTACTATTTTATTTGTTTTTATTTTTTGGTTTATATAGCTTAACGTATATCTATTAAGCTGGCCATACACTGTTCTATTTAAAAAAATATATATATAACAGATTCCTCCATTAAGCTTTACAAGCATGGATAGAGGAATCCCCTTTTTCCATTGTTGGGATCCCCGAACGGAGCTTGCAGCTGATTGGCTACAGGCTCCATTCAGCCACAGATTTTCCTACCTGCTCTCCTTTGATCTTCATCAAGAACCAGCCAAAATCCACATAGTGTACGGCCACCTATACTCTCCCTAAACTTAAAAGGAGAACTATGAGGTGAGTGCTTTTCACTCACCTCATAGTTCTAGCCGACCTGTGACAATGAGACTGTCACAGGTCGGCTCAGTAGATCGGGAGGTGAGCGAACACATACCGGGTTTGCTCACCTCTTGATCCTGTCACGGCTCTCTGCCGTGACAGGGGAGGGGCTGGATTCCCCGCTCCTATCCGCCAGCACTGACTGGCGGAGGGGGCGGGTACAGCTGGCTGTGCCTCTAGATAGGCAGAGCCAGCTGTCAGTCACACAGCTGGGCGGATCCCGGCACAATTGTCGGGATCCGCTTCAGCTGCGGCGTCTCAGTATACCGCGAGCAGTAGTTCGCGGTATACTGCGGCGTCTCAGTATACCGCAAGCTACAGCTCGCGGCATACTGAGCCTAGGGTGACGGGAGGATGCTAGTTTGTGTCCTCCCGTTAACCTAATGAAAACTATGGGGAAAAGCCTTAACCTCATAGTTCTCCTTTAAAGTGATATTAAAGGCTTCATTTGTATGCAATATTTACTTCTGACATAAATACTTTCTATGTGCCCTGCTTCTTCATCTTGCAAAGTGTTCATCTCACCAGTTTCAATTTGCTCCCTTAAGTGCCAGCCCCAACTTCCAGTTCTAGGTGACTTCTATCCCTAGCTGGGTCCTCTGGAGCCACATTTTTATGTGTGCTCCCAGGATTGGGGGACATGCCGAGGCTGCCATCCTTCTACATGCAAAGGCATTCAGAGATTATGATTATTATTATAATACAGGATTTATATAGCGCCAACCGTTTGTGCAGCACTTTACAACATGGAGGAGACAGTACAGTTACAATACAATACCGTTTCAGTACAATATGTTTGGGAGGGCCCTGCTCGTGAGGGCCTACAATCTAGTAGGGATTACGGTATTAAAAAAAAAAACCATGGAGTACGTCGGCTCAAGGCTTGATGGGACTTGTAGTCACACTAAATGGATTGAGGGAATTTTAGTGACATCATATGTGCGGTCACTCACCATAAGTTTGTGGAATTTGCGCACTGGAACCTGGAAGCGGTGAAGATATAAACTGTAAGTGTTTATGGACATTTCAGAAAGAAAGTTTTCTTTCCCACTCTGGTTGATACAAATGCAATTGATGTTAAACGTAGAAGGCTTTAGTACTATTACACCTGATCACTCACTGAAAAATAACCTCTTATTCCCAAAATAAGCCCCCTAGCCCAATATTTGAAATGGACCCAATCACCATAACAGAATATCAATGAGTAGCAGTCTAAAGCTGGCCACAGACCTTACAACTATCGCAAGACTTTTGTCTTGCGATGGTTGTAAAGTAATTAAAAAAACGTACGACCTGACCATCTTGGACAGGCAGATCGTACTTGCGATAATCGCAAGCCCGCTCCGCTGAGGGGCGGGCTTACGATGACCGCAATGCTGAACGGGCAGTGTGCGCTTGCGCACACCGGCCTGTGCGGCATTTATCTTACGAACACGTCACACACCCGCCGAGAATCGTACGATTGTGTTCGAACATGTTCCTAAGATAAAAGTCGTGCGACCTTTTATTTTCTCTATCTTTTTTTTTCGTTTTTTTTGTAACTTTTAAACTTCCCGCTGGTTCCGCCAAACTGCGACGCGGCCGCTGTATTCCCGCGTTTCCACGGGCTGAAATACGCCCAGGTGGGAACCACCCCTATAGGAAAGTATGGAAAAGTATGGGATTTCAATGTTTGAGCGTTTTTCAGCGCTTCGATCAGCGCTAAAAAACGCCCAGGTGTGGACCAGCACTTAAGGCAGTGGGAAAAGCACTGATCTTGGCTGATGTGCATTTGAAGAGTCCCAGGCATGAACAAACCCATGTGACCATGCTGTATTCATTTCTTATTTTTATTTTAGATTTTTCAATTTTTCTCTGATCTCAGACAAGATGTCCTTAATTCTTAGAAGGCATATTAAAAAAGCAGGCAAATCTTCTTTCCTCATGTCATACGTTACTGTGTTAACGGGTGCTGATGTGCTAGACCTGTTTGGAGCTGCACCCCTTGTCTAAAAAAAAATCTTGACTAATAAAAATTTTATTTGACAAAAAAAAAAAGCAGCAAACCTAGACTAGTTTGCCTAAATTCACAGGCAGTCACACTGCAGATTTGTGTCAGTTATATATGAATTTGCAGTGAGTGGGGAACCAATGAGGATTATATGCAGAAATCCTTATTTTCAGGATGACGAAAGTAGCAGCACAGAGCAAACCTCGCAGGGGCTATCTAGGAATTGATGGCAATTCTCTGTTTTAAAAAAGCCAATGGCTTACCATCTGCAGACAGCAAATGTCAAAAAGAAATTGGGGCTGCAACATTTGCTGTATTAAGTATAGGTTTGGATTTCCCTTGAAGTACAGCAAGTCACAAAGACTAGTGGCACATGCCAGCATTTGGCAAATGTGGCGGTAAATTTAGCGCTTTGTAGTTATATGGTGAAGTATCAGCATTGATTGAAGAGCTGCCTGATCATTTGACACTTTTTAAATATACCATATACATATTACCTATGGATTGAGAAGATGCAGTGTCAGTTCAGTGAAAAAATAGCATACTGGGGTTTTTACTTACAGCTGAAGTTTAGTTAAGATTAGGGCTGAGCCAACTAATCGATAAGGAGAATCATTTTTACGATTTTCATTGTCTATTAGTTGAACTGGATCCCCTGTTTTTTCTAGTCCCGATGGAAGCCAGTGTTTCATCGGCTCTATGTCTCCTCCAATCTCCGCTGCTTCCAGTGATCAATATTGATCACTCGTTGTTTGTAAACAACAGAGGGCATGGTGAATATTATGTCACCAGTTATGAATGAACAGGAAGTTCTCTACATCACTTCCTGTTCATTTACAAATGGGGACATAGTAAATACTTACCGTCTGCTCACTTTATGAATACACAGGAAGCAGCTCAGTACAGAGGCTTCCTGTCCATCATCCACATGGGAACGCGCGGTACCGCAATGCCGTGAGTTGTAGTGCAGTGCGATTGCAAAGAATTGTGCATGCAGTTTTATATTGAAGTAAACTTTTATCTTTGTAACACTCCCTTTTGTGTATTTTATTTTAAATAAAAGATGGCATTTCATTTTTTTATCCAATAATCGATTAATTGAAAAAAAACGGCCAACTAATTGATTATGAAAGTAACAGTTAGTAGCAGCCCTTGTTAAAAATATTTTTGGCGTTACAGAACCAAGAATATAACCTACATCTATTGAATTGTATCTTCTATCCTGCTGGTTAGTGTAAAAATCCTCCCTATACAGATGTACGATTGCCCTCACAACGGTGAACTTCCGGTGCTGTGGGGGTTAACTGCCTCATCTGTAACAGTAGAGCAGTGGTCTCAAAGTACCGGCCCGCGTC